GGGGGGGGGGGGAGAGGGGCGCATGGCACGGGTGTGGCATTCCGCTCCAGGGCGTACCTTCGGCCGGAGGAGATACTGCTCACAGAAGGCATCCGGGTCCGCGGCCTCGTCATAGGCAATGATGGCCCGCAGGTACTTGAGGGCGTCGCTGCGCAGCGTGCCGGAGGTGAATTTCTGCGCCGGCATATGGGTCAATGTTGAGCAGCCGGCATCATGGGATGAAAGGGGACAGGGATCCGGACACGCACCGCCTGAGCCTGGAGATACTGCACCCGGCGATTTTTCTTCTGCGCCTGGGCGATCTGCTTGAGCAGCTGGGGATTGACCTCCTCACCGGTGCTGGAAGCCTCCTGGACCATGGCGTCAAGCTCGTCATTTCCGTCTCCCTCGATGAAAGTCTCCTGGATGAAGGGGTCACCCACGGTCAGGGCCGCCACAATGGCAATTGCATAGGGCAAGCAATTCCGCTGCTTGGAAAGGATGAGCCTGGACGACGCGAAGCACGATGGCAGGGACATCCCAGGGGTATCAGCAACACAGGCACAGCCACACAGCAAAAATGCATCTTCAAGGAGGCCAAGAGAGAGAGAGAGAGGGAGAGCGAGAAAAATCGAAAGGCAGAACAGAAGCCGGGGGAGGAAAAGAAAGCCCCAGCAAGGGGAGAAACACACGCACATTTTGGCAAAGCGCGGCGAGATGGGGAAAGAGGCAATGACTTTGCCGGCCTGGATGATCTTCTTGGAGGTGGCTTCCAGAGCACCAAGGTACACCAGGAGCTCTTCGGCCTTCTCAATGGCCCGACGGGCCGGTGGCGTTGGGAAGGGGAAGTTGACGATGTTGTCGATGTTCATGGACTTCATCTGCAGGACAACATCTGCCGCCAGGAGACAAAGCAAGAGGACCAGGGACACGGGTCAGATGCCGCGGCAGGGGCCATTTGCACGCGCACACGTGTGCCAGTGTGCCGGCGAGCATGCAGGGTGACATGTATGGGCACCGGGGAGGAGCCGATGTGACGCACTTTCGATTGGCATGCCGACGATCTCCGGGTCGGAGAACTGTGGGAAGTGGTTGTCGAACACGGCCGAGGAAAAGAGGCGGTAGCAGTGGCCCGGGCCGGTACGGCCGGCACGACCGGAGCGCTGGTCCGCCGAGGCCTTGGAGATCCAGCTCACGTTGAAGGTCTGGATGCCGGTGTTCATGTCATAGTTCCGCTGCTTGGCCTTGCCGCAGTCCACCACGTACTTGATACCGGGAATGGTAATCGACGTCTCGGCGACGTTGGTGGCCACCACGCACAGCCGAGTGCCGGCGGGCGGCTCCTCGAAGACAAGCTACACCCGGTGCGTCGGGTCAGGGCCAAAAGTCAGCAAGATGGATCCGAGCCAAGACCACAACCCCTCTCCCGAAGTGCGATCAAAGGGGCCCAAGCTCACGTACCATCTGCTTCTCCGGGGCCAAAATCGAGTAAAGGGGCAGGACGTGGAGGGGGGCTTGAAGGGGGAGGACCCGGGAGAAGGAGCAAACGGCAGCTGTCAGGAGCGGATGGAGGGGGGGGGGGGGTGGAACATGGGCTGCACAAAGATACACGTGCAGCATGGGGGACAAAAACGCACTGGCCTTGCCATCCGGGGTGATGACCTCTTCCAGGAGCTCGTCATCCTCGTCGCCGGACTCCTCCGAGTCGTCGGCACTGTCGAAGGCCGTGTCGTCATTGGCATCATCAAAGTCATCGCGATCATCGGCGAAGTTCGGGTTGAGCTCGACTGTGAGGGGGGAGCCCCCCCCGGCAGACAAGTGCGCACGCGTTAGGGCCATTCGTCCGAGGAGCGATAGGCAGCTCACGAGGATGAAAAGGGGGAGGGGGGAGGGGGGGGGGGGGGGGCACAGCACGCACTTTCATCGAAGACATCACTCGATGCCTGACCCTGATCGGCGGCCTGGGCGTTGGCCGAAGTGGTCGACTCCTCAGCATCGCTGGTCAGAGCCTTTTCCGGGAACTTCTTGCGCAGCTTCTTGCACAGATCGGTGATCTCGTCCTGACCAGTCAGGAACACCAGGATGCCTGTGTACAGGGAGGGAGGGAGGTGGAGGGGAGGGGAGGCGGGGGTGGTGGAGAGAAGAGACATTGAAGGGGGGACCGATGCGTGAGTTGGCACCGGCAAGAGAGGAAAGCGGCTGCAGATGTGGGAAGGCATGGGAGGAACGCACCGCCTGGCGGCAGGCGCCGGTTGATCTTGCAGATCTTCTTGAAGGCCGCGTCGACATGGCCGTCGAGGGGGGTACGGCGGTTGAAGTGCACGGTGACCTACATGGGGAGGAGGTCAGCATCAGGTCGCAGGCGGCGGCGGAGAGAGGGGGCAGGGCAAGTCGCACCGGGAATTGGCGCGCGTCAACGTTGATCACCGGCGGCGGGGTCTTGAAGAGCTGCGTGTTTTCGGTGAAATCAGCCACGCGCATGGTAGCCGACATGATGATCACCTTCAAGGGCTACGGGGGGGGGGCGGAGAGACGTCAGGAGGGGCGAGAGGGACCCATGTCAGAGATAACGCCCGGGATGGGGCATCATGACAAGAGAAAGCCGAGGGAGGAGGGTGCCTGGGAGGGGGAAAAAAAAAAGAGGCGAACGTGTCAAGCATCAGACGCACCATGATGGTCTTCTTCAGGCCCATTTGGCGCTGCTCCTCCATCATCTTCCGACGCAGGGGAACAATGCGCGAAAGGAGGCCGATCAAAATGTCGGTGTTGAGGTTGCGCTCGTGCGCCTCATCGATAATGATGGCCGAGTAGCCAGTCAGCAGGAAATCCGTGGAGATTTGCTTGAGCAGCACACCATCGGTCATGAAGAGGATGGACGTCTCGTCGCTGACCGTGCCCTCGTAACGAATCTATCGAGCCCCGGCCGGAGGTCGGACAGGAGGCGGAGATCAGCAAAAAGAAGGCCCTGGTGCGAAAGAGAGGGAAGGAGAAAGGAGCCGAGCGAACGAGCGAGCCAGCGAGAGAGAGAGAGAGAGGGCACCCATGGGGCCGGGCCAGGGTGGGCCGGGAGCAGGGGGACGCACCTGGTACGAGACCTTCTTGTCCGAGAGGCTCATCTCTTCGGCCACGCGCTTGGCCATACTAACGGCGGCCACTCGGCGGGGTTCGGTGATGGCAATTCGTCCGGGGCGGTCTGTGGCCGTGTGGCAGGCATTCGCACCGAAGGAGAAGGCAGCACATGGAGTCGGCGAGGAGAGGCAAGAGAGGAGCCAAGCCCGTCAGTCCCAGGCCGTGAGTCTGGCGAGAGAAGTGGCCCAACGGGGCCGGACAGGGGCGATGTGTGGACGTACCGCTGTCGGGATGGCCAAAGCCCGCCTCATAGAGGAACTGCGGGACCTGCGTCGTCTTGCCGGAGCCGGTCTCACCGGAAATGACCACGATGTCATTCTCCATGATGCTTTCCATGATGGGCTGCTCCTCATGGCAGACCGGCAGCCGCATGCGGGCCTCCTGAATCTCGGCCTTCCGGTTGACCGTCACATAGAAGGCCTTGCCGCTGCTGTTCCGGTGGGTCTTGCTGCTCATACCCAATATATGCAAGGGAGGCCGCGGGGCGGCAGCAGCACCATGGCAGTCAGCACGGGCAAGCGGGGGAGGAGCAGGAAGCATTCAGGCAGGCATGCGGAGGGATGCCGTACGTAGAGGAGATGAGGCGTGGCGCCGCGACGACCGGGGCATCGGTGTCCATGGGGGCATCGGTGGCGGGGACACCGGCCGCGGGGACAGGCGCCGGGGCAGTCGCCGGAGCCGGGGCAGGGGTAGGCTCCGCAGCGGTGGCCGGCTCTGACCTCCGAGCGGGCGCCGGCTGGGCCGACGCAATCCGGGCCACATTGACCGGACGCGCCCCGGCAGCCGGGGCAGCTGGCGTCATGGCGAAGTCGGCCACCTCGCGCGGCGCCGACACAGTCTCCAGATGGACGGTCGGCAGGGCTGGCATATCGTCCTCCGGCTCGTCCTCCGACTCGCTGGCCGAGTCGATTTCCCCGAAGGCACGCTTCTTGTCGACCTTCGGCTTGAGCTTTGCATGGGACGAGGGTCAGCACAGGGAGGAAGCCCAGAAAGAGGGGGAGAGAGAGAGGTGGCGTTTGGGGTCCCGCGCTTCGGCGCCAGAGCGCCAGAGGGCAGGAGAGGACGAACCATACGCGAAAGGTGCTTGGTCTCCTGCAGGGTAACCCCGGCAGAGCCCTGAGTGGCCGAAGCACTGTCGAGTGGGAGGGTGAGCGAGCGATCAGGCACAGGCCGCGTGGGGCAACGGGGACATGTGCCGAACGTACGAGAGCTTCTCAAGAAGACGGCCACGCTCCTCCTTCTTCAGTTGGGCTTGCTGTGTGTGTGTGTGTGGGGGTGCATGCGCACAGGCGCATGGATATGGCAGGACGGCGGCAGAGACTTGTCAGCAAAGACCATCGAGGAGGGGCAAGGCAGGCAAAGGCGAGGGCGTCGGGCCTACCGACGCCAGGAGGAAGACAGCGCGGGCCACGTACCACATACTTCTCCATGCGCTTCTTTTGCGTGGAGGTCATGCGCTTCTCGGGAGGGAGGTCATTCTGGGCATTCTTCTTTTGCTGTTCCTGCTTGACCGAGGTCTGGCAGGGACGAGGAGCAGCAGGGGGTCAGTGAATATGGAGAGAGGGAGGATCGGCGAAGAAGGAGGCAGGGCCGCACGTTGATCAGATTGGCGTCGAGAACCGCGGCATTCGAGTCGATGGTTACCTTGGCGCCGGAGGCGGTGACCACGACACCGTGCACGTCACCGCGCTTGTGCTGGCGGCCCTTGACGTTGTGCCGCTTGCGAGGCTGCGACATGGCCGGAGGAGGAGGAGCAAGTCGATGTGCTGGGGCCGCGGGGAGGGACGGGCAGGGGGTGGAAGATGACAAGGGAAAGCGAGAGGGCAGACAAAGAAAGGGAAGGGGGGGGGGGGAGGCTAGGAGCATGGGTGGATCTTCGCCGCGTTGACCATGCTCTCTGGGATGGTCACCAAAGAACTGTGGGGCCCTCCCTCTCTCTGCCTTTCTCTCTCTCTCTCTCTCTCTCTCTCTCTCTCTCTATCTCACACACACACGCATACACATTCACATTTACACAAAGGGGACGAAAAGCAGGAGTGGGGCGAGGGGCATACGGGTCGATCCGGCGGAAGGGGTGGGAGCCGGACGGCAGTGCGATCCGATCCACGGCGGGAGCCATGCAAGCGCGCGGGCCCATATCACGCGCGGGCCCCAGGCCACGCCACCATGTCGGATCACGCCACCCCCGCTCGCATACCGACCACCGGTGGCAGTTCGCCTGTCCCACTTTCTCCCCCGGAGACGACTGGCGTGGCGTAAGCAGACGTGGCCCAGGCCTGCGCGGCCGACTCCGAGCCCCACCCCCGGGCGCTCTCACGCGTTGGGGCCTTCTTTGCCCCTTCCCCGGCCCCCCCCCCCCCCCCGGTGCTGGTCAACACGCGTGCGTATTTTTTTGCCGGCACCCTGGAATCCGATCGGTGCTCCGCCCCCTCCTTGTTTTCCCTCACTGGATGACTGGATTGCGGGTGGTCGCGCATGTGCATATGCCCGGAAACACATGCTGAGCCTGCAGGGCCTGGGCCGGGGGAGGGGGGGGGGGGGATGGTCTTGGTGCCGGACACCAACACCATGACTGTGGCGGCCACGCAGTTGCCAGCCTCCCCCGGAGGAAGGGGGCCGCCATCTTCACTTCAGGGGACAGTTGATGGACAGGCAATCCGCCGCCCCTCCCTCCCCCCCACCCCGCGGCACCCCGCGGATCCCCTGCTGCCCTCCCGGGTCCGATATTCCCCTGGGCGCTCGGAATGCCCCGGTATGGCCCCCGGCGGGCGGCAGGACAGTCTCTGACTGAAGGGGCGGCCCTCAAAGGCGCCAAGTCCCTCCCCAGGCCGAGGCAGCCCTTCTCTCTTCCTCCCTCCCGGCCTATTTTTTGTCCTCTCCTCCTTCCCCCCTCTGCCCGAGTCTTTTTCCTCCAATGTCCGATATGCGGCGCCTTGCCGCCCTTCTCCTCCTGGCGGTCGGCCTGTTGGCCGTGTCGGCCACACCGGTCGCGTGCATCAGCGTCCCGCGGCCCTCCCGTGTGCCGGTCACCCTGCACGTCATGTCCCAGTGCCCTGATGCGGTGCATTGTGAGAATGTCTTCGCCGACGTCCTGACCCAAGTGGGTCGAATCACCGACATCAACACCGAGTACATCGGCAGCCCGAGCTCCGACCCGCGGTATGAGCCCCACGGTGGTGTTCGCTGTATGCATGGTGGCGGCGAGTGCCAGGGGAACATCCAGCAACTTTGCGCGCACAGCATCTACTCCGGCTTCAACCCCAATGGCTGGTTCGACTTTGTTCTGTGCCAGAGTGCGTTTGCTCCATTTGCCCGCCTCTTGTCCCCCCCCCCTCCCCTCCCCTTTCCCTTGCCTTCTCAATCTCTCTCTCTCTCTCTCTCTCTCTCTCTCTCTCTTTCTCTCTTTCTCCCACTAACCCATCCTCCCCTTCGCTTACGGTCTGACCTCCCCTCCAGGCGAAAACATCGGCGCCATCCCCGGAAACGGCCTGGAGTGCGCTAACGACCTCGATCTCAATATGGACGCCTTCCGCAACTGCACCGAGCCCTACGGCTACGGTGGCCAGCTGCTGCATGAGTCGGTCATGCGCACCAAGGAGAGGGGTATCACGTGCGTAGAATGGTGGTTTGATTGTGGACAAGGCCCGGCATTTTGCAAAGTTCCCCCGTCCCGTGGGGGTGGCTGGCTGCGAGGGGGGGGGGGACATAGCCACCAGTCTGCGCGCCTGGGCGGGCTCGCGCGGTGGCGACCGTGGCAATCGCCCGACGGACAGGCCGGGGGTGAAAGCTCGGACGTGTGCTCGGTGCAGAGCAAGTTCTCGGGGGGTCCCATTGTGGGGAGAAGCGTTTTCTCACACACACACACACATACACTTTGCTCCTTCCTGTTTGGATCTCTCATGGACCGGGGAAAATCCCGACAAAAAACCGCCGCCCACAGCAAGTCCTGCACCGTGGTTATCGACGATGAGATTGTGTGTGTCCGCGACGGTGGGTCCTGGTACAACTGCCCCAACGGGTCGACGGTGGCGGACTTTGTCCGGCAAATTTGCCAGCGCTATCAGGGCCCGCGGCTGCCAACGGTCTGCGCGAATATCCTTGACGCCTGAGGCCGCTCTCATGCTGCCGGTTGTGGCTGATTTTGCCGGCCATGGGGGCGTTGCATGCCGCGTGTTATGTGCACGCATGCACACATGGTAGTCCCCCCACTGCACATGGACCGGCGATTGGGCCCACCATCCACAAGGCCCAGCATCGACAAGACCCGAAGCCAAGTGGTGGCCATGCAAGAGAGAGTGTGTGCTTGTGTGTCGCCATGGCTCCGGATGTCTCGCCTGTCTGCACTTCATGGAATACATCATTAACTTATCCTTATCTGCCTATTTTTCTTTCTTTCTCTCTCTCTCTCTCTTGCCGTGTTTTCCCATTCGGTCTTCCTTCTCTGGTCGTGTGTGGGTGTGTGGGTGTGAGTGTGTATATGTGTGTCGGGGGGGGGGGGGGCGGCCGAGACGGGTGGCGGTCGTGGAGGCCATTGGGCTGGCCCATGTGGCACATGCATCCTGTGGGACAGGGTCGGTTGGGACCCGCGAAGGAGGTGGAATTGTGGGCTTGAAATGCCATCGGGCGGAAGGGGGATTTGTTTTTTTCTGTCCCCCGTCGGGTGGCCCCCTTTGCCTGGGCCGGCGAGAAGGAGGAGGCCGGAAGCAGCCCAAGAAAGTGAGAGAGACAAACGAGCAGGAGCCAAGAGAGAGTGGGAGAGAGCGGCAATGCCCTAGATCGGAGCGCCGTGGCGAGGAGCCCCTCCTCCTCCAGGTCGATCTGGCCCATGCATTGCGGCCATCTATCTGTCCTTGAATCGACCGTGCCGGTGCCCCGCACGTCTAATCACCATGGCCGCTGATGTCAGTGCGCGTGCTGATTCCGGGCGAAAGCCTCGGGCAGCCGAGGGCACACACACGGGGGGCGACCGGAGGCGTCCCGGATGACGAGCGTACACACCCCCCTGCATGGCCCCCTCTGCCGGTGGGCCGATGACTCCTTCTCTTTGCTGTGGCATGAGTGCAGGGGACTGGCACTCGGGGTGCGCGCCCCTCCCCCCCCCCCCCCCCCCCCCCCCCGCCTCCGCCCCTGGCTCACCTCACCATGACTGGTGGGGCTGTGCGCCCGAGCAAGAGCCCGGGTGCCCTTCGTTCTTGGCTCGTCATTGTCTGTCCGCCAGTGGAGGAGAATGCCGGTGGCTGGTAGAAAGCCAGGACCGGCCTTCAGGTGCCGATAACATAAAAGCCGCCAGCGGGCCGCCTCCCGGGGAAGGGCCAAGGGAAAGACACTTTTGCACTCCCATCGCACACTGTTCCGCCCTGGCTTCCGCCCTTCGTGTCGCGACACGCCGGTATACTGTGTCCAGAGACGCACATCCCTCCATCTAGATTGCCCCGTGCGCAGGCTACCCCGCCCCTTTGCCTTCCTGTGTCCCTACTCGCCATGCCAACATCCACCCTCCCCGAGCTGGCTATCCCCCATGCAGCCTGAGACACCCCCGTGTGCCGGTGCCGGCAGACAGGCGCCGACGCTTGGCCCCTGGCCTGCCGGCCGAGAGGTGGCCAAAGGGCAGTCCCCGCCGACACACCCTATCTGAATGTCCTATCGGCCGTGAACTTACCATATCTGCGCCTCCTTTGCCTCTTTTGTTGGACCTCGGGCCGGACACGGACATCTGGCTGGCCGGCTGCCCCCTGCAGAGCGCCATGCTCCGGAAGCTTGTCATCACCGGCGGCATCGCAGCCGTGGCCTCGGTGGCCGCGGTGTCCGCCACGGCTTCCCCCCACATGGACTCGAGCCCCAGTTCGCCGGCGGTCCTGAAGCACCTGGCCGAGGAAGTGGCCCGCAACAACATGCCCGACCCGCAGGACATCCAGGAGACCGTCCAAGATGCATTGGAATCGGAAGAGGCCCAGCACATCGCGGACTTGGCCCAGTCCGAGCTAACCAAGCAAGCTGTCGGGGCGCTGGCCAACCTGGCCCGCGAGCGCGCACCTCGCCGTGATGATGATGATGATGATGATGATGATGAGGACGACGACGAGGACGACGAGGACAACGACGAGGACGATGACGAGGAGGAGGAGGAGGAGGTAGTCGGGCGGGAGGCCGGTGACAACCACCGAGCCGGCCCTGGCAGCGTGATCCGCTGCGGGACGACCGTTCCCTCGACGGCTGGCGGCGCGCGGCGGCCCCGGCGCGAGGATGCCCGTGAAGATGACTCCGGCTGGTTCGATGCCGCCGGGGACTGGATTAGCGATGTCGGTCGCGATGCCGGGAGCTGGATCAGCGGGGCCATCGACGACGCCGGGAGCTGGCTCGGCGGTGCGGCCAGCGATGCTGGCGACTGGCTGTCGGACGCGGCCGACAGCGCCGGCGATTGGGTGTCCGGCCGCCTTGAGGAGCGTCTCGAGCGAACCACCGAGACGGTCACCCTCACGCGCGGACGCCGCGACCAGCTCCGGAATGGGTGGGATTCCCAGGAGGAGCCACTGGCCGCGGCGCGCATGGAGGCCGATGCGCTGGTCCGGCTGATGCGGTCTCGCCGTGATGTCCGGAGCTCGGCGCCGCCAGATCTGACCAAGGACGGGAGCTTGGCCGGGCATCAGTCCTCGGACAGCCTGCCCGCTGACCCATCGAGCGGCGATGATTCAAGTCCTCCCGGCCACGGGGCAGGCGACGGTGCCGTCGATGGTTCGGCCACCGAGCCCGAAGGCTCCCAGACGAGTGACGCCCCGAGTGATTCCGAAGGCACCGACCTTGACCCGGAGAGCGGCCAGCAAGGGGGGCTGACCGACGGGGATGCTGATAGCGATGACGATGCCGATGGCGATAATGATGGTGGTGTCCAGGTGCCGTCGGCCCCGATCGCGGATCTACCACCGCACGAGGACCCAGGCCGCCTGCGCGGCCGCGAGGAAGAGGAGGAGGAGGAGGAGCACCGGCGCCATGGCGGCAACAGTCGGAAGGCCTTCAAGAAGGCCATGAAGCACGGGGACTTCGGCGTCCTGCTGCCGTCGGTGCCGGAGCCGCCGCGTCATCCACTGCCGCCGCCGCCGCCGCCGCCGCCGCCGCCGCCGCCGCCCCCCAAGCCGACCAGCCCGGTGGTGGTGGTGTGCCCGTGCTCCTCTTCGGGGTGCGGATCATGCAACCAGTCGAACCAGGGGTCCTCCGGCTCGTCTGGTGGTAACTCGCAAGGCAACTCCACCTCCAACTCCAATTCCAACTCCAACTCCAACTCCAACGCCAACTCCAACGCCAATGCAAACGCAAATGCCAATGCGAATCCCGGCGCCTCGGCCACCGCTCCGGCCGCCGCGAACGGCTACAACTCCCAGTCGCAATATGTCTTTGTGACGGCCAATCCCGCGGCCAACGGGCCGCCACCGCCGCCCCCGGTTGCCGGCCCGGCATACCAGCAGCATTATCCCCCGCCGGGCGGCGGCTACCCGATGCACATGGCCGAGGGGATGGCCCCATACGCGGCCCCGATGCCGGTGCCCGCCGGCCGGTATTACCAGCAGCCGATGGCCCACAGTGCGGCCCCGGGTGCCCAGTTTGCCGGACCGCCCTTCGGCGGGGCCACCATCATGCCCAACACCGGCGGCGGGGCTCTGTACTTCCCTCCCGGGCATCAGCCACAGGCAATCTTCTTCCGCAGCGACGATCAAGCCGATGTCGCCGATGAGGCCCAGGTGGAGGACGCCCAGGAGGATGGCCAAAAGAACAACCACCCGGAGCACACGCATGAATCGACCGACGGCCGGGCCATGGCTCGTCGGTCGGACTCCCCCCCACGCGACGCCACCACGCCCGATGGGGCCGCCAGGGTGCGGTCGCGCTTCCCCACCGAGCAGCTTGCCGTTGGGTATGCCGGCTTCAATGGTGTGCCGGATGACCGGCTGGCGCAGCGCAGTGCGTTTCCCATGGGGTGGCATGGTCGCATGTTTGGGGGAGGGGGGGGGGGCGTTCCTTTCTTCTGCTCTCTCTCCCTCCCCAGTGACCGGAGTCCAGAGGGGGAGGGGCGTGGGCGGCTATGTGGCGCGGCACTCGGGGCAATTTACTTGCCGACTTCTCCCGGCAGCTGGCTCCTGAGGGCTTTGCCGCCGCCAGGGTGGATGTCTGACCCCCGCCGTAATCCGTGTGTCTACGTGTCTGTGCGCCTTTCTTTTGGCCCCCCCCCCCCCCGCTCCCGCGCGGCGCTGTGCTTCCTCTTGGCTGTGTGTTAGCCCGCATGCGCCCGGCCGGCCGGCGGATCAAGATCTCCGATGAGCAGCTCAACATCAGCAGCTTCAAGCAGGACGACCCGAAATCCTTCTCTCGGCGGATGACCTTCACCGAGATGGTGGCCGTGTGTGCGGCCTCCTGCGCGTCGGTCATCGCCGCGGCCTTGATGGTTCTGGTGGTGGTCACGCGTCGGCGCCGCGACACGGAGGATCGCGAGGCGGGTGTGCCTGTGGGTGGCCGGTCGGACGCCGGGAGTTCCGGGGCCCCGGGGCCCGGTGCAGGCCGCCAACCGGACACCCGGTCGTCGTCATTCTCGGCCTTCGCCCATGTGACGACAACGGCACCGGCAGCGCCGGCCGCCAACAAGTCCGCCTTGAGCCTGGACGAGTCACATGGCGATGATGGCAGTCACAAGTCGGACCTCGACCACGGCTACAGCATGCTGGGTCGCGCTGACGGACGAGGTGCCATCAGTGGCGATGAGGATGACAGCCCTTCGGACCAAGAGCTCACCCAGTACATCCGCAATGCCTCCCTGCCGGAGGCAGATATCCCTCCCTTCTAAGGGAAGTAGGCGTCCGAAGGGACCCCCACGGACATGCGTCCAGAGGCATGTCCACATTCCCCGAGAAGAGGGAGAGGAAGGGGCCGAGTGCAGTGGGCTGTAATGTGGCCACCACGATCTCCGGGGAGGGCCTTTCCCAAGTGACGTGGTGTGTTGTGCATTGTCCCCCCCCTCCCGCGCTCTCCCCTCGCCCCTCGCGCCCCCCTGAGCGCCCTGGTCATCCATTTGTACACCGCTTCACCATGCAGGTGCTCGTCCAGACGCCTCAGCATGTGCCGGGCTGCGTGGAGCCAGCCAGGGTCTCGGCAATGCGGCATGCGGCCCTGCTCGAGCAGCATGTGTGCGTGCTCTCGAGGCAAAGCAACGAGAGCGCGGCATTTCTGCGCTCTTTGCCCATGTACGCGCATGCACCCTCCCGCGGGATGGCGCAACAACACTTTCCCCGGGGAACACCCCAGCTCCTACAGCCCATTAGGGTATGCGGAGATGTGCCATTCCCCCCCCCCCCACCGCTCACTTTGTATCATATTAAACAACTCCATCATTGTCTGAGCCGCGCCCCGAAAGGAGGAGGGAGAAGGACAGGGGGGGGGGGAGGGGTTGCGACGAAGTAGGGAGATGTGGAAATAGGAGATCTCGGATGAAAGGCGAGGGGGGACGGTGTATTGATGGAGAGAGGCAGGGAGAAAAGCGAAGGCGGGGGCAGGGGAAAAGGAGGAGGGAGAAACAAGATAAAGCAAGTGGGGAGGGACGGAAAGGGTGCCGGATTCCCGGGCAAGTTAGAGGAGAGGACCCAAGGGGAGGGGAAGGGGGGAGGGGGAAGGGGCGAGCGTAATCAGAAGAACAAATGGGTCAGGTCAGTCTGACGGGACTTTTGGCGGCCAATCCGTGCCGCCGGAGCGGCAGTACGGCCGCTGCTCGGGCCGCCAGTGCCGACGTCGCCCGGATCCTCGGAAACCGAGTCACCGTGTGGCCGAGGGGGGCCGCCGGGTGCCGGATCCACGCCGGCCGCCGGGTCCGATGCCCGGGCGCGGGCCTTCCAAACCCCGGCCGCCGGACGGGGGCCCGATGGGGGGGCGGCCGTCGCGGCGGCCCCCCTCGAGCCCGAGGAGGAGCCGGCACCGGGCTGGTCTCGCGAGGAAAGGGACTCCCACTGGCTCATGCGTGCGCCTGGGCCGCGTGCCAGCAGGGCGTAGGAGCCCTGTGAGGCCACCAAGGGGGCGGCCACCGGGGCAGAGCGCCCACGCCCGCCGGCCGATGGCGACTGCCTGCCAAGGTGTTCATGCAGCGTGTCGGGGAAGTCCTTGTCCAGGGACAGGCTCGAGGCAAGCTGGATGGACTCCAGGACCTCCGAATACCCGGGCATGGCTTCTTCGAGGGAGATGAGCGGCGCGTCGCGCGAATGCGTCGGCGGCGGGCCGTCAGCACCGCCATCACCCCCCAGGGCCAGGCGCTTGCGAAGGGATAGCTTTTGCGCCTGCTGCATGCTGGGGATAAGTGAGTGGCGATTCTTCTGAAGAAAGGTCGACAGGGATCCTGCGTGCCGCGTGCGAGGGGCCCGGGAAGTGGGCAAGGTCAGATGGGATACCGCGATGTAAAGGGG